CTTTTGCTCCAGCCTTTGAGTGAGTTCATTCCAATTTGTCGGACAGTGACAGGTAATCTCTTGCAGTTATGGGTAGAGAGAATCGAAGACGAGATTGATTTGCAAAATTTCCAGTTTCATTCAAAGCTTGCGAGTGTATGGTACGTACTTCCAAAGTTTTGAGCTATTCAACAAAGAAATTTGTGGTGGTTAGCCAATCAAAGCAGAAAAGAGAAAGTCATCACATTTGCGCAATTCCTGTTCCATCTTTTCCTCTTAGGCTATTTGAAAATTTTGCAAAAGAAGCCTAATTGAATCTCACTCTCAAACTAACATTATTACTAGTGAATTGCAAAGGATTGCAAATTCTTCTCTGATATTGCGTCTATTCGATGGAAAGTTGGTTGAAGAAACTCATTCGCACATTGCATACTGCCTCATAAAAATATGCTCGAATCTCCAAAAATTGAAGAAACTGTCCACACTAACATTCGAATCTCGTACATGAATTCGAAATTCGCAGTTCCAAAATAGCCCAAAGAGATAGCCAGCATTTGTTACTAAGTTCTTGCCCATGATTTCAAATGAGATTTCGGGAGACTTTTGCATAAATAAAGGACTAGGGCATAAACTACTCATTGTCAGGTCATAGCTATGTTTCCAGCAACAAGAAAAAGATTGTAAGTGACCTTTTGAAAAAGTACATACACCATTGTAGAGTGCATGAAACGCTGATTCCAAATCTGTCTTTCTTATCATTTTTGGACATTGTTGTGAGCGCACGAAGGTGGAAGTAGGGTAAAGATAGTCGTGACCCTCTTGCTAGCGCTTGAATAATGCAGAAAAGTTATCAAAAGCGCATGCATAAATACTTCTAGAATAACAGACCTACACTCCGCTGCGTTAACTAAGCGCCAGTTGAATTTTAGCGACTGCTTTTATCCTCAAAAAATCACTAAACTCTTTGCTTAAACACTCATAACTCCTCGCCCATGAATGCTGCGCAGATGCGGAGGACAGGTTTGAAATCAGCACTTTATGTTTTCCAAGAAGGTATGCATCCCATCCAAAAGGCCACTTCGAATTATCCCTCCTTGTGAGTTAATTTTTTTCTTAGTTTGTTTTCGAAACGTTTGTAGTAGAATTCGCTCAAATTTTTTGCAATCTCTCCCGTGAAATTGTTGCTCAGATTTTGTTTACAGCCATTCCTTACACACGATACATCAAAATATAGATGTATCACTCATAAAGTAATGAATACGTCCTTCTTTCTCTCTCTTATCCCTCTCCTCAACATCTTTATCTATGTTCTTGCTGCTTGCACATCTCTCATACGGATGGGGCAATAAGCGGGTCTCAACTCTGAGGGCGGAGGTGCAAGAGCACTCCTGTATGTGAATGCTAGTGCTAACTATGTCGCGAATCAAAGTGCTAGAAACTCCTGCGTCCCCTCCCTATAGTTCGTTGTTTTCTGGCCAGCCCAAAACGGAGCCACTGTGTTTGACCAACTGCAATTACAGATCAAAATCGTACGTGCATACCAGATCTAAAATCCACATAGAAGAGCTCGCGTTCAAAGAACGATTCTTTGAAAATTTGATGAAAAAATCTTTCTATCCCGCTTTAAAAAAATTCCCCTCCCCCATTCCCAGAAAAGTTGCCCATGGTTCTCCCTCAAATAAATGACCCTGCTAATACCATATATTTAAACAGAAACTTGTCTGTGATATTTCTACAAGCCCTTATAAGTGACTGAGAATATCAAGCCAATCTAATAAATCAATGTAATAGTTTCTAGCAGCAATGATCAAGTAACTGTCACAGAAAGCTCGCTTAGTTGAATGGAAGATGTTGCCAGAAAGGTAAGGCAAACAGACCTCAACCGCTACTTTCTACTATACTGTACTTTAGCGAGAAAATATCAAATCACGAATTACAGCTCATGTTAGAAACAATGTGTAGTCAGTTTCGGCCCTTATAGTC